AATAAGCAAATAGCCTCATGGCGAGCATGCGAAACATGGTATTTATGGCAATTACACTCATGCAATATGCTAAAGCGTAAAAGTTTATCGAGTACTCCAAACCAAAACAAAAGCTAGTTAGAAACAATGCATGATCCTAACTATGTTAAAATGCCTAATGCGACACATGCAATATGCCATTAATAAGCTCGGCTACTAATATGGCGTATGATACAATTTGATAACATGCTTTGAAACACATTTAAATAAGTATTGAATTGACGATGCAGTTTGAATGATACGTCGAGCCTCGGTGCATGCAAGACAAATGAATGGATGCAAACATGCGAGCATAAGGTATGCTAATCAAAACATGATCCCTAATCTAACCATCGAAAGTGGATAAATAAAAGGGAGAAAGATGTGGGGTTGGAAAACATGCACACACGCATGCACACTTATTACAACATTGTGCCCTCCCGAAGGAGGGTCCGAATGAATAAGAGTTAAGTTAATCTAAGATAAGCTAATTAATCTAATTAAGCTAAACTAATTAGACTAATTATTACAAACCAAATGAATAACTAGTAAACTAATTACTAATTATTACAACACTTTAACTAATTAGCAAACTAGTTAATTAAGACAAATATGCACCAATTAAACACGCAAAGCACTAAACTACATTGCCACAGCTCTGCTTCGGGAAGTGGAGGATGCATGCACTTGGTTTTTTCCCTAAAAAGCCTTCTAGTTTGCTCTTGAGAGGCTCTATTTGCAGGGTTGAGCTTACTCCAAGAACTTTCTGCTCCACCTTACCAAATCAATGCTGAGGACTACACCAGTGGCTTGCCAGCCATGGGAGTTTGCTGCCGGCCCCCTGTCGGCCAAGAATGTGCCTCTGCCAGCCAAGGGTGAGCCATTGCCGGCCATCAATGAGCCACTGTCGGCCACTGGTGCTCTGAGTCAACACTCTGCAACAGAGCACAAACAGAGAAAAATAAAGGGTTTTCCACAGGCATGTTTCTACTGTGCCCCTCCTTATCATCTCAAAACATCAAAGGAGTGGCACACTTGGATCCAAAACCACCAATCAAGCATTTTGAATGCATGATGGCCAAAGATCCAAGAAGTACAATTTCAATAAATACACAAAAACAAGACTCTAGACCACTACCTTATCATGAGTGATCGAAGGTAATGGAGGCAAAGGAGATTGGCTCAGTTCATCACTTTGAGTATGAAATGCTCTAATCTACCTTGCGTTCAATATAACGTCCGATTGAACACATGCAATGCAAACAAATCTACCTTGTGTTCAATATAACGTCCGATTGAACACATGCAATGCAAACACAACATGCTTATCTTGTTCAAGTTTTATTTGTCATGTTTTATTTATACATTTTACATTACCAAATCATTCTTTAACCGGTTAGTCCAAGGTGAGTGTCCTCTAATGAGAGAGGGGTCAACCAAAGGATGATTTAAGACATGAGAGAGATCATGCCGTTGGTTAGTAGAAACCCTCAAAAGAGGATTAAAACCATTAAGCACAAGTCTCAATCTCAAGCTTAAACACAAGCTTAAGGCTAACCAACCCTCAATGAAAATGAAAAATTGAAGCAATGAGGGAGGTTGCAGATGTTTCAGTGCTGAAATGACATGCAAAAAGATGCTACAACATGCAAGCAACTCATGCACAACATGTTTAAAACCCCAAAAACACCAAACTAGTGAAAATCACTACACAATAGGCATGCAATACAAAGCTCAAAAAGGACAAACAGTCCAAAACAATTCTAAAACAACCTAAAAGGAGTCTTAAAACATGCTTGAAGTAAGCTAAAAAAGGCTAGAATGAAAGGCCAACACATAGCACAAACTAGACTATTAAGAACAATTGCACTACAAGCATGCAAGGCAAGCCTCAAGTGGCCAAACCAGCTCAAAACAGAGTTTAAACATGCCAAAATAATAGCAAAAACATGCTGAGATTAAGTCACAAAAAGCTAGAAAAACATGGTCACATGTTAAGCTACCTACTCATGCATACAAGACACAAGGAGATGAGGCTACCCCCTCCCATTTTGGACCTCAAAATAATGTTTTTACCACTGAAAATCCCCTAGAATTCAGTGGTTAAGAGAGCCAAAAAAGTTATTTTAGAAAGCTTTGAAAGATGGAATAACAACTTAACAAGCAAGCTACAAGAAGGGTGGACCACCCCTAACTCCAATCAAACCTCAAACCACCATTTTAGTCCTTGAAAATAGAGATTTTTAGAGGTTAAAACCAGCCTCAAAACAGCATGCAAATATGGCCAAACAAGTATTTAAATTAGGCTTAAAATACAAGTGTTCTACCTCTTGAAGACAAGATGCCATTTAGGCAACAAAGGCAAGTCAAACCAAGCCAATACCCTCTTCTAGAGCTCAAATAGGACCTCAAACAACCTCAACTCAATGGTAATCAAGCTTGATCAAGGGCTCACATGCAAGAGTGTAGAGAATTTAGACTTTAAGGCATAGAATATCAAGAGAGAGGATTCTAGAGAGAGAGAGAGAAATTTTTTTGTTTTCAAAATTTACAACCCTTCACATGCAAGAGGAAGGCTTCTATATATAGAAGATACAAAATCTCCTCAAAGAGATCTAGCCATACACGTGCAAGAAGATGGCTCAACCCGTGCAAACAACTGGCACAAAATATCAGAAAATATCTACTGATACACTGGTGGCCGGCAGGGCACATCAATGACCGGCAAACCAAAATCCATGGCCGGAAATGCCTCAACATGGCCGGTAGTGCGTCACAAATAACATGCTGAAAGGACCAAAACATGGTCCAAAAATGAGATAGAATTGATGCAGGGATTGGAAAGCTCAAACCTATGGCATTCCGCCGCGGATTTCGAGCGCTCGACGAGCAATCAAACTCATCACTGGATGTCACTGGATGTACCTGCAAGAACATCCAAGTCTTGAGGACGGTCAAAAACGGGGTGTCTACAGTTGCCCATCTTTGACAAAACTCAAAGTCATAAAATGACGCGAGTGAATGTCAAAACCCAGAGACGACCCATTTTGACAAGGCTGCAAGACTTAGACAAACATTCAAGATAACAATACATAGTGGCGCCCGCAAGCTGGGGCGAAATGCTTATGATATGCACAATACAAGAACATAACTTATGATCATGCAATGAGGCTGTAATGAAGCATTTAAATTGCAAATGTTATGCACAAAGAAAATGCCACAGTTTAAGCAAACCGGCAAGGTACAGTAATCTCATACACGAAAAGAAGTAAGCAAATAAACATGCCACGCACGAGAATCACAAGCCGAACCGCACCTCGTGCAGAAAGGATGTAAAAAAATTATCCAGTCTTCACTACGCCTCACGCAGGAAAGGCTAAAAGCGACTGTTGGGTGCACCCGAGGGCTCAAACAAAACACATCCTAGCGCGTCACACGCGAGAGGAGAAAAGGAAGTGGTGTAAACACCGGAGGGTGGTTAAACCTGGGAGCACGTCCCAACATTTCTAACCGAAACAAGGTGGTATAAGCATCGGAACACGTTCCAAAGCTTCTAACCGGGGGGTGGTGTAAACATCGGGCACAAGTCCTAATGTTTCTAACCAAAGAGGCTGGTATAAGCATCGGGCACACGTCCCAAATGCTTCTAACCGGGGAGTGGTATAAACATCGGGCACACGTCCCAATGTCTCTAACCAAAGAGGGTGGTATAAGCATTGGGCACACCTCCCAAACGCTTCTAACGAAGGAGTGGTATAAACATCGGGCACATGTCTCAATGTTTCTAACCAAAGAGGGTGGTATAAGTATCGGGCACACATCCCAAACGCTTCTAACGGGGGAATGGTATAAACATCGGGCACACGTCCCAATGTTTCTAACCAAAGAGGGTCTCAAAGGGGGGCAGGAATGATCTTACCTAGAATCCATGAAGGAACCATACATACAATATCGTGCATGTAAAGAAAGACACTTAACAAGTGTGATGTGACAAGAATGCATGTTCTATGCAAGACGAATAATTGTGAGACAACGTTAGAGGCATGTTTTATGCACAACATGCAAGAAATGAAATAGAAGCATATTCTATGCGGCGCAAGCAAAAGCATGTTCCATGCAAAATAATCAACAATGCATATTCAATGCAATCGTGCATATTCTAAGCAAACATGGTGATGTATGTTCCATGCAACAGTTCAAAACGCATGTTCCATGCAACGGCAAACAAACGCACATTCTATCCAATGACAAAAGCACGTTTGATAAAAACAACTCAAAGGCAACTTTCGATTTACCTCTCGGAAGAGTTGCGATATGTTAAAAAGGATACACCTTGCTTAAGTTGATGAGTGATGACCATCGCTCACTGGAAACGCATTTCTGGGCTTCCGCGAAGGCATTCTGAATCAAACACTGAACACCCTTTGCACTTCTTGGAATCCAAGGACACAAAACAGAGCCAAAGATACAGGGGAAACTTGTGGAACCCTGCCGGCCACCTTCCGGCCACTAGTGTGCCCTGCTGGCCACCAGTGTACCACTGCCGTCCATCGATGTGCCACTGCCAGCCATCGATGGTTGATTTGGGCAAATTTGACTTTTCACACTTGGGTCTTTAAGTACACAACTTTAGACTTCATTTCCCCACAAACCCTTGCACGAAAATCATTCATTTTGCTCTCTAGGTACTTCTTCTTTCTAGATCCACGGGTTCCACACGTTTTCCAACACGCTAAAAACATTTTATTCGTTAAAACCCTCTAGTTCTCTTCACTTTGAACCGATTAGAATTTGATTTCAACGCTTCTTTCCTCATTTCCACCATTCTAGGCTCATTCCCCTCGAGTTTCTCTCAAGGTTAGTACACTTTTCCCAGCTTTGACTTTCTTTGACTTTTCCTCTCTCCTAGGGTTGATTTTTTCAAAGTTTCACCCTTTTTCTGCATTTTCCCTCATTTCTGCTCATTTTTGCACCTATTTCAGATGGCGGATGATGTTCCTCACGCCGAGGCTCTCCCCGAGCTTCCTCCAATAGACTTCGAGGCAGACTTTGAGGCCGAACCAGAGGCTAAGCCGAAGCTATTACCGCTGAGTATACGTCCCTTCGATCCAGCGAGGTATCATCCTCAGACTCACATAGTGCCTACCACAGGAGGCGTCAAATCCTTTACTGACTTTGCTGATGACGTGCCAGACGACCTCCTATTGAGAGAGCCAGCGTCTCATTTGTCGGCCATCATCGTGGAGGTACGAAAACTGTCTTTTCTACAATATTACTGTAACCAGACCGCGAGGGACCTCGCTACAGCTCGGACTCGACTTTTGTAGTCACGGTTCTAAGTCTGAACCAAAGAGTCCAAATCCAGCAAATCGTTTTGAGAAAACTGATTTTTGAAAGAAGTGCCAAACATGGACTGCTTTGCCAGATACAAAGTCGCCACCTAAATATTTTATTTTGGGAAATTTAGGAAACCCTGACTCGGTGCCAAAGGCCACGTGTCCGTCATCACCAAAGTTGCCTCGTCTCGGGAACTTGGTACGATTGGGAAAGGTCACTTCGTGAGCACCCCCGCTCGCCCGGCCAAAGACCGGCCTCTACTAACCATGATATCCATTTTTGAAAATATGTATGTTCTTATTCCGGTTATTAGCCTAGGTTACTATGTGATGCGCACAGCATACAAGTATAGACTGGATCGCCTGAATTGGAACAAAACATTTCATGTTCGCTTTTTGAAAATAGTTTGCTACCCGCAGGTAGGCTTGAAACATTTGATGATTTATTCCAATTTAAGTAACCCAACCTTCACCCACAGGCATTTAGGCAGATATATCACATAAGCAATTAGCCTCATGGTAAGCATGTTATTCATGGCATTCACTCACACGCATGCAAGGATGCTAAAGCGTAGAACTTACCGAGTACTCCAAGCCAAAATAGAAACTACGTTAGAAATCATGCATGATCCTAAGTATATAGAAATGCCTAATGCAACACATGCAAAATGCAATTATAGCAGGCTCGGCTATTCTAAGATGGCATATGAAATGCTACAACTAACATGTATTCAATTTGGAATTGAAAATACAATGCAGTTAGTATGGTGCGCCGAGCCCGGTGCATGCAACACAGATGAATGATGCAAACATGCTGTCATACTGTATGCTAATTGAAATATGACCTAATCTAACCATCATAAGCGGATAAATAAAAGGGAGAAAGACGTGGGGTTGGAAGACATACAACACACACGCACACTTATTACAGTTGTGCCCTCGCGCAGAGGGTCCGAATAAATAATACAGTCCGAATATTACAGTCCCGAATAAAAGAATATTACAGTCCAAAATATTACAAAATCCTAATTAATTAACAAATTAACTAAGAAAACTGTAAAAACTGGCATGCAAGCCAGGGACTGCCTTGCTTCTGATGGATGATGCATGTCCGGGTTGTCTTGCGCGGAAATCCACCGGAATGCCCCAATTAGCCTCTGTTTACACCTGTTCTTGAAATGCGTGCCAGGCCCCAAAAGGTTGCTGATTCTTCATTTTGCTGCAACAGACAGCAGGAAAGGGGCATAGCAATGTATTTTCACAAATATATGCATGCCTCGATCCTCGTGCCACCAATCACGCATACCGAGGCATGATGGCCGAGGAGTCGAAATGCACAACTCAATATAGAATGAATGCACATGAAACACAGCTAAAACCTAACTCCATCATGGATAATCCGGAGTGTCGGTGACTGGGGAATTGAGACACATTCCGTCACTCAGAGTACGGAATGTACCTCGTTTCCCGTGCCCGGGCTAACTCCTATTCCGAACACGATGCAATATGCATGACATGCATGAATGCAACTAAGATACAGCCTAGCATGCACAATGCTATGAAAATGAGATGTCTCGAAATGCGTGCGCACGGGCACGCAAACCGAGGCAATGGCATACGCAATGCAAAGACATGGAAATGGCATATAAAATGCAACATGGACTTATACTAACATGAGAGAGCCTCAGCCGCACTCACATAAGATGCCGATGGATGAAAATAGAGTGTCTCGAAATGCGTGCACACGGGCACGCAAACCGAGGCGATGACAGAATGCGATGCAATGACATGGAAATGGCATATAACATGCAACATGGACTTATACTAACATGAGAGAGCCTCAGCCGCACTCACATAAGATGCCGATGGATTAAAATGGAGTGCCTCGAAATGCGTGCACACGGGCATGCAAACCGAGGCGATGACAGAATGCGATGCAATGACAGAAATGATATGAAAACATGATATGGGCTTATACCAACATGAGTGAGCCTCAGCCACACTCACATAGGATGCCGGTGAATGAAAATGGAGTGCCTCGAAATGCGTGCGCACGGGCACGCAAATCGAGGCGATGACAGAATACGATGCAATGACATGAAAACATAATATGGGCTTATACCAACATGAGAGAGCCTCAGCCACACTCACATAGGATGTCGTTGGATAAAAATGAAGTGCCTCGAAATGCGTGCACACGGGCACGCAAACTGAGGCGATGACAGAATGCGATGCAATGACATAGAAATGGAAAGCAATCATTCTAATAGAATTTCAGCAATGAAATATGGGGTAAAACAGTCCCGAAATGAGGCGAAATGACACCAAATGCATGGAATAGTCCCGAAATGCGAATTTAGGCACCCGAAATGGCCTATAACTATGCCAAACATACACA